AGCGAGGGAGTGTGAGGCTTGGTGGGCATCTGGCAGCCAGCCAAGGTCAAGCCGCCGTAGTCAGTGACTTGTAATTCTGATCAGACTAACTGGAAATTCTAATTTAGACTAGGAACACACCTAAAAACGTTTTGGGTTTTGGTGGTATTTCAGTTGGATTAAGGAAGAATTTGGTGTCAGATTGTTACCGGTGCAAATAAAACAGAGCATCTGTAAAGTAGGATCTATGGCGTTTCCTTTTTTTTTTCCCCCCCAGTTTTAGGGATGTGGTTTCTTTATATTCAGTTTTATTTCTATGTAATATGTGAAACAATACATATTAAAATTTAGGATTTTTTTCATAATGAAACAGAATTTGTGTGATCACAGGAACAAAACAAAGGCAGGGGGGAGACCATGTTCTTTTACCACTGTTGCCTATCCTTAATCTAATTTCAACAAGTTTTCAAAACTAAGTGGCTAGATGGGTAGAAACTCAATTTTTTGTTTTAGTGAAGATTACTATAAGCTGAGCCTTACCTCTCAGACTCTTTGTAGCAAGGAGAACAGGCTTTAATAGCCCACCAGTCAAAAGCCCTAGCCCTTCTGAGTTTGCACCTTTGACATCAAGAACTCCTTCCTCAGTGCTTGTATGTGGAGAATATCTTTTGCTGAGCGGAGTTGAGATTGTGCACCCCATTCTGTTAATCAGCTATAAGACACTAAAGAAGAGGAAAGAAGAGCTTGGTTACTTGTTTGTGTATCAGAGCTATGTTGGAAATACTAGTGTCATGTCCAGTAACGTTCTGGTTGACTTCTTCAGTTTCTCTGCTGCCTTCTCCCCTACCCCAGGTGTTGCTAAAAGCTGTTTTAGCAGAACGTTACTGAGGTGTGTGTCTGTCTTAAACCTTACGCGTAACTCCTCTAAAGTGGAAAAGACCTGTCTCCAGCATAGTTTAGTCATTAGTGCTGCCCACATCCAATCACACCCCGATACAAAGTAAGCGGTGGTGTAGACTGCAGTGTACAAGAGCTTGCTTTAGCTTGCCAACTTAATGTTTGAATAACAGATGAATTGTGGTGTTCGAGGCTGGAATAAAAAGAGACTAATACGACTCTTCTCTCTCTCCCCTTCCTCCTTTAGAGCCCAACTTTGAGGAGTCTCCAAAGTGATCTCTGCAGGTTGTACCCCAAACAGCAGTGTACATCAATGGAGTTGCTGAACGTGGCACCAGTTGTAACTTAATAAATGCAGTGTTCCAGTTTGATTTCAGAAGCGTGAATAAGTTCTTAACTGTATGGTGAGCATAGTTAGCTATGATCATCAACTCTTCAGGTGACTGAGGCACCTGAGCGAGTAGTGTTTCTCAATGCTAACTGCAAAACTCCTTTGCCAGCCTACATTTTAGTGCTGAGAAGTTGTAACATCGGTAGTGATCCACCAAGAAGGAACTACTTGTTTTTCTGAGTTTGTGACATCCAAAAAGCTTCTGCAGAAAAAAAACCCCATGAACCCTAAATCTGTAGCAAAGCCCTACGGTAGTGATGGACCTGCACAGCCAAAAGCATAGGCACAAATACGCTAATACTACACTGCATCAGTGAACACACAAGTGATGAAGTGTTACTCTTATAGAAGCAACTGAAACCTGTTAATGAGGTTGTGAGATTTAAATTTCAGTAATTGAACTATTGACACAAACACTTCAGGTTCTGAGGAACTATTTATTTGTGACACTTCAACAGTTAGGGTCCAGATACTACAGCTTGACTTGTACTGGCATGATTTTTCTTCAGAATGAAATTACATATGCAGTCTACAGAGAGAGAGAGACACTTCCTTGGGGAAGAGAAGCTGTAAGCATTTTATATTGGACAATAAAACACTGCTTAAGCCTCAATTACAGGAAGCCTTATTCTGTCAGGATAGTGAGTTTAAGTCTGCACGACTACTTACGCACTTAGCTTTGCCAAATCTAATACAATGTCAAGGTACTAATAAGTCAGAATTGCAGGAGAGTTTGAGCCCTTGACAATGGTGGAGACATAAGTAGTAGAAGTAGTGGTAGCAAGGTCATCCATGAAAGTTATTTGAATAGATTGTTCCAAGCTGTAAGAGTGAATCCTGCATCGCTGCGTGTATACGTGAACAAAATGAGAAGTCTTCACACAAATTGACTTGTATATTCAATTTAGTTCTATCTTTAAGTTAAGGTTTTTTGGGTTTTGTGTTTTTAAACAGCAATCACAGACAGGTTGACTAGATCTAAACATTGGCAGTTTCTATTTTCAGCATGTAGTATGTGGAAACAGTATTTACAGAGTAGAGGTCAAAAGATCCCTTTGATACTTTTGTATAACAAGTAGTCATTTGATGTCCCTCACAGAGGCTGAAATCTTCTAAATAACAAAGGACTTGGTATGCTTGAAATCCTAAATGAAGGAAACAAGGTTACATAAGTAATAGTTGAAAGATTTTAGCTAGATTAACATTTAGTGTACATTTCAGAAGAAACTAAGGCATCGAGATTAAAGAGAAGCATGCCTGAAGCACTGTTAGTTAACGTTTACTCTTTTCTGGAAAGGGAAGTCCACAGAATGCACTGCTACACAGAACAGAAGTAATAACCTATTAAAAACTACAAGTATCACAACAGCTCTGTTGAGCGTCTGATTCTAAGTGCATTAATATTGATAAACAGATACCACGGCTCTTCAGAGTTTGTTCCTTCCCGCTCAGAGCAACCAGGGAGTTGGCCTCAGTAAGTTTCTTATATACGTACTAGGTGAAGGAACAAGCTTGCGCCATTTAGTACGTTCTGTTTTGGTGAAAGAAATGGGCGGCGTTCAGTGAACTTTTAAGGCTACTAATGTAGCCTTAAGCTACAGATAGTGAAATTAAGTTGCTCTTAGTTTGAGCTCCATTCTTTTTGCACTGATCTGAAAAGCTGGAGCAATGTATGTGCAGTTAAAGCCCTTGAGCCCTCTCGGTGAGGAAGGGGGGAAAAAAGCAGTAAGTTTAGCTTCCATATTTAGTCAAGCCTTCTGACCCACATTAATCTTAGAGGAATTAAGGCCCAAGCATTCTCTCACAGCTGCCTTGGGCTGTGTCTGAGTTAGTTTCCTTGGTTAACTGATACGTACAAGGAAGGCAGAGTGGAAGTCTTCACAAGAAATGGCATCATTAAGTGGACAGTATAGAGATGATATTGCCAAATAGCGTAAGGGTGTTACCTCTAGTTTATCTGACAGAGGGAAAATAATCATGAAAATGGGAAAGGAAAGGAATGAAAGAAGCTAATAGAACAGGGAAATGTAGGAAGAAGTAGGTAAAAGACAACCAGGTAAAAATCTGGTTAGTGTGGTAAAGAAAAAAATGGCAAAGTATGGAGCAAGGTGCTGTAGTTTTATGGCACTTTAGACTGAGTAACAGGAAGCTCTAAATGCAAACAGAGACAAGGTATCTCCAGGTGTTGGTGGCATGTATGGTTTGGCGGGTGTGTGGGGGGGTGTATGTGTGCAAAAACATCACAGATCTAAAGAATTTTGAAGACATCTAAAACTTTTTAAACACACTACTGAACGCAAAATACTTGCCTTTTCACTCGTAGATTGATAGTTGGCCTTCTTTCTGTTAACAGAACAGGAAAGGAACATAGGTTAAATAGCGACTTTTCTGGTGTCAGTTTTGACCCTTTGAGAACCTTATTTACGAATGCATTTTTCCAGATTTCCAGCAATCCTTAGGGTTTTTTCCCCTCTTAGAAAAAAGTTACAATAACAAATCCATTGAATGCTTTTAGATAGCTGTCATTATCTCGTGAACCACTGTCAAATTGCCTTCCCTAGCTTGTCAAGTCTTCCAGCTATGCTTTTTGTCTAGTTCATGGCCAGTATAAATCAGACAGTATTTTAAAGTAATATTTGTATTTCTCTTTACTATTTTTTTACCTGCTATCACCTAGAAGTGCTAAGATAAACTTTTAAAAGAAAAAAAAAAAAAGAAAAAAATTGGAGGCCAGCCTCTGATGAAGCACACAATTTTAGCCTTGTGTGGGAGCACTAAAACAGCTTGAGGAATTCTGACTTGCTACTAAGAAATTTAAATGCATGAAATAAATCCATATCAAAGGAGTAGACCAGACATCCTCAGAAAGTTTCCATCAGTCATAGTTTTACAAAACATTTCCTGAAATAATCTGTAGACATGGATATGAGGACAGTTCAGTTTGGTTCTGATCATCTTTTGTCTAGTTTGAAGAGGAGACAAAAGCGTGCCTGTAACTGAGTTACGGCTGTAAACCGTAACTGTGTAAAAAGACACATCTCCGCACATTTATCACAGTAGTAATGCTTAATTCATTTTCTGACCAGCACACTGGTTCTAATAAGGGAACCAGCTGGTGTGGAGGATCAGGTTTATTTCAGTGTTCAAAAAAGCCACTGTACAAGAATCATGTGAGAAAGGCCTTAAACAATCATCACAGTTACTAAATAATCAGAAATATAAATGAAGTTTGCAGTGATTTGTGTACTACTTGCATCAAGATACTTACTGGGAAGAGCTTTCCTCTGAAAAAGAAAAAAAAAAAAAGAATTAGCACAAGAAGAGTTTCCTTAGCTGACTTAAAGTTCTTTGAAATAGTTATTCATAGCTTATTCAGCTCTTCAGTTTCTAGAAGGAGTTTCTGAACCAAACGTCTTTTTGGTGTAGTGAGTTTAAACAGAAAAAGATTAGGTTGCTTTCAAAGGTAAATGAACTTCCAAGTGAACATGAACTCTAACAGCAGCTCCGTTGGCCTGTTACTTTCAGGCAGCGTTCCTTCTCAGACCCTGACATTCGGCATCCCTTCTTGATGTGCTGAACAGTACAGGCATTTACGGAGAGGGTTGCTTGGTGTCGAGGTTTTTGCAGCAATCCTTAGAAGCAAACTCTCTCCACGTGCACTTTCACTACGCCCCAGAAGAGAGCGCCAGTAATTTAGTTTCCCCTTCATCAGAACTCAGCCGCTCAGACCTTTTGGACTGAAAGGGAACTTGCACGGCTCGTTTTTAACATTGCCTTTCTTTGCCATTCCCTCTCACAACTAAAGTAAAGAGGCTCCAGGAACCAGGGTTCGGCTCGTTGCTTTCCCTGGATTGCCATTTGGTAGCCTTATGCAACTGCACAGATGTCTCCACATCATTCTTGAAGTACCTTTTACAGTAGAAGTTGGCAGAATAAAAATGTCTGCACAAAAAAGTTGCTGTTGTAACGCTCTTTAGCTTTAGTACCATGGTGTAAGAGCCTTCATGAAAAGGAGGACACCTTACACTCAGCAGAAGTACAGACATTTTTTTGACACAAGGAAGGAGTGATTTTATTTTACTTACTTGTAAAGTAGCCCTTTTTTTGGGCATAAAATACTCCAAGGCCACACAATGCCATTACCAGAGCCACAAATACTACAGCAGCGATGATACCGCTTACGTTAAGGTCATCTGTAATTATAAAACATAAGTAAGTCCAATGTTGTAAGTTGTAAAAATTTCCATTGGCTGGATTTTTTTCCCTAATTACTACAGGCACCTTTTGTATCTATAGGTGGTCTTTGGCCCAAGCTGCATAATTAATTAGTAACACTTCAATACAGATAAGCAGTCTAAAAGCACTACTGTATCACAGCCACATTAACAGGAGTGCTTGGTACACTTCAACTGCTTCGTTCAGGTCAAAAGTAAGGAAGAAAGAACAAGAGGGGTCAAGGGATACATACTCCTCATTAAACCTATCCCCAATAAGTATTATTCAAGCCATATGTCTCTACGGGAAAATCTCTCGAGATCTTTAAAAGTCTTAAAACAAGTGTTTTCATATAGTTAGTTTGCCTAAAATAACTGAAACAGCTGACGGCAATGTCAGGTCCCGGTCCTTAAATAACTTCAGGCGAGTTATTTAAGATTCAATGCTTTTTTTATTTTTAAACGGCAAGGCTTTTAAAAGTCAACACAATAAAGGCCACAAATATTTTAGTCCAGATGTCTAAAGTTCAACTCTACACTGAGCTACTGAAACATCTAGCCATGTTTATTTTGAAGGTGATGACCCATGCCCATTTCCTGATGTAATCACCAAGAGCTTCAGACAATCATTCATTTTAGGAAAAAACAAAAACATCAACAGGCAGAAACATTTTCATAGGTTTTTGTTGTTTGTCCAATTACTTATTTGGATCCTGACTTTAAGCATACATTAATATATGGTTGGGAATTTTACCCCCAAAACTGTCAATTTTTGTGCACTGGTTGACAGCAGTTTAGGACTTTGGTGAGTATTTCCGCAACAGAGGGATTCTATCTTGTTAGCTTGTGGA